CGCAACGAGAAGCGCGACAGTTCAGTCTAAAGAACATGGCGGCTTCAGCCGATGAAACTAGCGGAATACAGAGTATTTCTTCACTGAAAGAAGAGCAAAACACTGCTCTGGAGGCTTTTCTCAGAGGAAAAGATGTTTTTGCTCTTCTCCCGACTGGTTTCGGCAAGAGTAGCCTGGCTTGTGGTTGTGTTTTTGTCGTCGCTCTGTTAGTACGTCATATGCTTCGTTGATCAGCTAACCAGTATTTTCACCCGTTCCCAAAATTACTTCAACGGAAGGTTTCCAGAGTCAGGTTAAGAACGGGTACTTGCAACCTTCTCAGAGCCACTGCTCTAACCACTAGGCCAACACTCCCCACATATAGCAAGAATACTTTAGACCCGGGGTCTGCCACCGGCGGATCCGGAGCCGCATGTGGCTCTTTGGACCCTCTACCATGGCTAAACATGATATAAGAAACTAAATAATGTACTATAGTGAGGGATTGCTGAAGAGTCAATGAGTCGATGCAATCAGCTGGTTTTCCTTAGAAAATTTTGAATAAATTTGACTGAATGATCTGTTTGAACTGTAAAGTGCCTTGAGATGACATGTGCTGTGAATTGGCGCAAGAGAAATAAACTGAATTGAATTAAAAAAAGTAATTTTTCAGTACACACTCTTATTTTTAGGGTAAAACAACATTTTTTCTGCTAAAGTACTAAACATTGACCTGTAAAAATAATGGAATATGTCTGAAATTAATCTAAAAGTTGGATCAAAAGTTACAGAGTGTTGCTTCCAATGTTTGTGTCAATGCTGTAAAAGTTTATTATTGTTTCTTTGTGTCACCACGCTGTCAGCGTCGTCTACCGGCCCATGCCTACAAACCAGAATCACAACCAGGGGGCTGTGCTTAGGTAAACATCGCGATAATAGCCAGAGGATAATTTACAGACTGATGGTTTGGGTTAATCTGCACGAAAAAGACAATACCTACAGATAAACTAGCTGTTTGTTTAGTTTAGTTTTTAATTTGAGAGGAATCCAACAAAAGCAGCTGTGAAATGTGAAATCTTGGCAATAAATAAATATATTTGTATCTACATTATACCGTTTATAAAAACAGCTCTCATATGAAGCCATAATAAATAAATAATTTATCAGTAATAAATATATGTTACTCTTACACAGTAATACAGGAAGATGCATGGCATCCATTAGGCTGAGTTCACCTGAACGTATAGAGGAAGATACGGAGTGAGGTCCCTGTTTGTGTGAATGGGGGGGGACAGAAAAGACTGTTGGGAATCTTTGGCTTCACTGTTTGCAGTGAGTGTCTATCTGTGTGTTTAGTTAAAGTTACAGTATAAACACACCGTCTCTCCTTTAACTAGGCTTTTTTAAATCTCTTGAGCTTTAGCCGTCAGGTCTCTCCCACAGAAAACCAAAACATGTTTAGATAGGAGTTGTTTTGTCGGAGGAGTTCCAGGGCCCCCGGAGGGCCCTAAATCCTGCGTCGGACACAAAGGTGAGACAAGATTTAGGCTCCTTAATGTCCAGCTGCACCCAGAGAAAGGCCTCTATAACTTCCTATGCTCGGTGAGGGACGCAGCTTCCCTCTGGTCGTAGTTTAAATCCACAGAACGCTGAGCGTCGCTGCAGCTCCTTTGGGCCGCGCGTTTCAGCCGATGCACATGCAACTGGCAGCCGAGAGCGACTGGATGGTCCTCCACGTCGTGGTGGTGTCCATGAAGGAAACCGGCTCGTACCGGTCGGGCCGGCAGCACGGGTTCCTGCTGACCTTACGGGCAGTGCGGCGAGGCAGCGAGCCGTTTTCTAGCAGTGCGTTCAGCGCCAGGTCGTAGTTTGTTCTCGAGCTCTGGCAGGAGCCCACGCAGAACTTAAAAAGGACAATTTCGTCGGAGTCGAATCCAAGTCCGAGGTCCCGGACCTTCATCTCTTTCTTCTCCACCCGGCAGTCCCTGCTGCTCTGTTTCGGTTGTTTGCTTTTTCCTTTCCCTCTTCTATCTGCTTTTCCGGTCTCTTCACCTTCCTCCTCTTCTTTCTTCTTTCGTTTCTTTTTCTTCTTCTGTGATCCCTTGGGCTGAGGCTCCGTGGGGTCAGAGGAGCGTGGGGAGCGCCCTGCCCAGCGGACGATGGGATGATCATCCATCTCCTCCATAACGAAGGGCTCTGAAACAAAACCAGACAAAAGACGTAGTGGAATGAATACTAAAAATACGGAGGCTAATACCCCATTTACACTACCCTTGAAAAACCGTGCCGAAACCGGTCCGAGCTCCGTAACTGAGATAACTTATCGTGTGTAAATGGAAAGCAAACTGAACTGAACCGAGCTAGACACAACCGGACCGAGCTAACTGCAGACCAGTTCCAGAGATGGGCTCGGCTCGGTTTTTCCCTGGCTCGGTTCTCTGATAACAAGAGCGCATGAGCAGAACGCGTCATCTCCGTCTGGCTGTACATCGCGATTCACGCTCCATTCCAGTAGTTGGCGGTAATGCCCCTCCGGAAGTTGCTTGCCAACCAACACAAAACGGGCATTGCCGCCAACTACTGGAATGGAGTGTGAATCGCGATGTTCTGCTAGACGGAGATGACGCGTTCTGCTCATGGTTGATGACTAAATCGTATACTTCAATCCTGTAGCATCAAACATGTTTGAAATTCAGTTGGCCGTCATGAGGTCGCATCAGAGCGTCGGGGCCGCACAGTGTGAGAACAAACATCGTGAGGTTGTGAACTTTTAAACCCCCAGGTTTCATCGTACAGTTTGAGCTGTAGCTGAGTACAACGATTTAAAATATCGCAGCTATAGGTTTATTTTCGGTCTATTCTGATTGGATCACTCTCCTAGTTTAGCTGTAGGGTCCAGTCTCTGTAGGTTTGCAGCCAAAATCTTCATTTCCACATAGTTTAATTAGAGATTTCCTAATTAGATGCCTTCTAAAGAAATATGTTTGCATGTTACGACTTTATTCTCGTAATTGTTACGTCTTTATTCTCGAAATAGAGAAAAAAAAATATTCTAGCCTGGCCCTAATCCTCCGTCGTTGATTTAAATACTTTTTTTTTTTGCCGGGAGTTGGCAACCCTAATTAGAAGTTAAAATGATTTTGAAGGTTAACATTTTCCGACAGATAAGATCATTGCATTCTGATGCAGCTGAGCTTTAGTACCATATAGAGCATGCCATGTAGGGTAGGTGTCGCTGTCCTCCTCCTGCTCCTTATCCTCCACCACCTCTGGCAGCGTCACTGGGAACTCTCTCTCCTCCTGCGCCTCCAGGAGGCCTGCAGCATGCTTTAAGTCTGAGGCAGCGGCAGCAGCAGTGGGGGCCCTCATGTGAGCTCCTTCCACAAGAGGCAGCAAAGAGATGAGCACCCAGAGCAGCACCTAAAGACAGAAAACAAGAGCTGGAATCCATTTCTAACACTTTACACAACGCATATTCTCAACTTTGACATGCAGGGTGGGTAAATACAATTATTGTAAAGTATAACATTGGCAGCTTTCCTGTTTTTGTGGTTTATTTATCATTCAACATAAATTATTTGTCGCTTATCTGCCAGCAGAGAAAATAACTCAAGTGTATAAATTGTGTTTGTTTTTTGTTTTGGTTGATTTTTGGCAAAAGATCCATAGTGAGGTTTCTGTTTCTCATTTCATGAGAGCTAAAAATCTTTTGTGTTTGACTTTTTAAAATGAAAATAGATTGAGTTAAGCTGTGGTTTTAGTGAGAAGTGACCACAAGCATAAAACTCCATGTTTGTGAGAGAATAAGACATGAACGCAGCCACAGAGTCTAACTTGGTACATTTAGATTTTCTTTTTTCCCCAGACGGAACATTTATTTTTCCGTGTTTGTGTTTAAATATATCAGCAGCTGCAACAGATCCACATGTACAAAAATAAACTTAGATATCAGCAGTGGTTCCTGATGTTGACCTTTGGAAAGGAAAAACTAATGGGAACGTGAAAGAGGACGAAGGAATCATCAAGCAGTTCATAGTAGTCCTAAAGTTTATATACTTTACTGCGTACAACAATTTGGCTTTTTCACGTTAAAAACTTTTGTTGTTGTTGGGCTTGTGTTAAAACCTGCAGGAAATGTAAAGTGTAAAAGTGGCGTGCTTTTTTTCATTAAAACTGGAGAATCCCACGAGGACACACATTTTGGTCCTATTCCTTCATTTATGTCATTCGTATACGCATGCTAACATTAGCTCGCTAACATTAGCTCTATTCCACCAAACGATACTGCTTGTGTTGCTGCTTTTGAAACTTTTAACCTATTCTGTAACAGACCAGGAAACAAATGTGTTAGGTTAAAAAATGTAGGTTCGTAAAAGAGGAACTGAGTCCACACAGAAAAGTGATTTTTAACAGCTTCTGCAGAAGGAGAGAGTTACACCCAACTCTCTAACTCTCTAACGGACTTCCTCTGCAGAACCTTTTTATTAGCAGTTCATAACACATGGGGTGAGTTACAAAACAGAGTGTTCTTCTGACAAGGCAATTGATCAAGTCACAGGACAGAATGCTCCTCTGATTGAATCACAGAACAGAGTGCTCTTCAGATAACTGGGATTAGCCTTGCACAAACATCAGTAATTTTCCACCACCGTTGCACGACAGTTTGCAGTAAACAAGTGAAGCTTCTTATTTCCTTAATGTTTTATATGCACACACATTAACTTTATAATTATCATTGAATAAACCTTACAAAATGGTCAACCAACCATGGCTAACTGCTAATGTTGGTAAAGCTACATCCACATCAGGGGTCTGCAAACTGCGGCCCAGGAGCCGCATGTGGCTCTTTGAACCCTCTATAACGGCTCTTAATAGTGGCTAAACATGATATAAAGAACTAAATAACGTACTTTAAGAACAAATACCAGTCTTAGACACTTTTGTGGGTTTTATAAAAAAAATACTGGACTGCACCAGAAATATGTTTTTAAAGCTATTTTTATAGCTAGTTTTATCATTACTACTTTTACTATTATTACTTTAATCTATATTTTACTATTTTTTCCACATTTACCTTGCATATATTTATGTTTTCAAACAAATTTTTTCACAATTTTTTTTTTCCAGACCTAATATTTTCGAACTAGATATATTTTTCCGGATCACATTGATGTGAAGAGGGAAGATGCATTTCTACTGGTTTGCTGCCGGTTGGCAACAACATTATATTGGGAGTGTTGGCCTAGCAATTAGAGCAGTGCGCTTCTGCTCTCAGAGGGTTGCAAGTACCCGGTTTGATCCCCACAGACTGCCACTCTGGGCCCCTGAGCAAGACCCTTAACCCCACACTGCTCTCCAGGCGCCACACAATGGCAGCCCACTGCTCCCCAAGGGGATCGGTTACAAGCAGAGATAAATTTTGTTGCTTTGTACTTGTGACAGAGTACTGAAAATAAAGTTAAATTCTATTCTATTCTAATTCTTCTATAATATGTTGGTGAATGTGTGCGTCCAGAGCGAGGGTTTATAATGGACTTGGAATTAAGAATATATGATTTGTGAATCACAGTTTGAAAAAAGGTTTTGAACATATAAAAAAATCCATCCATTCATTTTCTCTGTTTATCTCCAGCGGCCTTTGTGCGAAAGTCGGGGTAAACCATGGACAGGTCACCAGTCATGCTTTTTATGCCTAAGGACAATTTAAAAAGGCCATTGAGCCTAACAGNTAGCCTTGCACAAACATCAGTAATTTTCCACCACCGTTGCACGACAGTTTGCAGTAAACAAGTGAAGCTTCTTATTTCCTTAATGTTTTATATGCACACACATTAACTTTATAATTATCATTGAATAAACCTTACAAAATGGTCAACCAACCATGGCTAACTGCTAATGTTGGTAAAGCTACATCCACATCAGGGGTCTGCAAACTGCGGCCCAGGAGCCGCATGTGGCTCTTTGAACCCTCTATAACGGCTCTTAATAGTGGCTAAACATGATATAAAGAACTAAATAACGTACTTTAAGAACAAATACCAGTCTTAGACACTTTTGTGGGTTTTATAAAAAAAATACTGGACTGCACCAGAAATATGTTTTTAAAGCTATTTTTATAGCTAGTTTTATCATTACTACTTTTACTATTATTACTTTAATCTATATTTTACTATTTTTTCCACATTTACCTTGCATATATTTATGTTTTCAAACAAATTTTTTCACAATTTTTTTTTTCCAGACCTAATATTTTCGAACTAGATATATTTTTCCGGATCACATTGATGTGAAGAGGGAAGATGCATTTCTACTGGTTTGCTGCCGGTTGGCAACAACATTATATTGGGAGTGTTGGCCTAGCAATTAGAGCAGTGCGCTTCTGCTCTCAGAGGGTTGCAAGTACCCGGTTTGATCCCCACAGACTGCCACTCTGGGCCCCTGAGCAAGACCCTTAACCCCACACTGCTCTCCAGGCGCCACACAATGGCAGCCCACTGCTCCCCAAGGGGATCGGTTACAAGCAGAGATAAATTTTGTTGCTTTGTACTTGTGACAGAGTACTGAAAATAAAGTTAAATTCTATTCTATTCTAATTCTTCTATAATATGTTGGTGAATGTGTGCGTCCAGAGCGAGGGTTTATAATGGACTTGGAATTAAGAATATATGATTTGTGAATCACAGTTTGAAAAAAGGTTTTGAACATATAAAAAAATCCATCCATTCATTTTCTCTGTTTATCTCCAGCGGCCTTTGTGCGAAAGTCGGGGTAAACCATGGACAGGTCACCAGTCATGCTTTTTATGCCTAAGGACAATTTAAAAAGGCCATTGAGCCTAACAGTCATGTTCTTGGACAGTGGAAGGAAGCCGGAGTACCCAGAGAGAACACACCCATGGACAGGGAGACAACAGTGCTACAAACTGTGCAGAAAAATCTGAGAAAAGTTATTCCCCAAACCGTTTTTAAGAACAAAACAATATTCAAAGAATCATTTCTGGACTGTTTTTATTTAACTTTTCAATTTACAAAAAACACGTTCTTTGATTTTAGCAATAATGGAACTAATTTCCCTCCATACAGGACGCAGTACTCGACTGAAGGAGGCTTTTTAATTAATTAAATGCTTTCCACACTAATGGAACCGGCTGCTGTTTATAGAGTCCAGATAAGACCTGAAACACTGAAAGCCTCCGTTCTTTGTTTAAGAAGATTCATTTATATCTACGCTATAAATATAAAGTCACTTACTCGCATTAATGAAAAACACATTTCTTTTTAATTCCATCTCAGAAAATAAAAGCAAAGCGACGCCATTAAAAGGGTATCATTTAAACTGCCTGGGTTTCTCCTTCCTGGGTGATTGCTGATCATGTAAATCTTCACTTTTTCTTTTTTTTTCTCTCACGTCTATTGAAGAGTGAGGAAACATGAACTGCATTAAAGATAGCAGACAGAACAACATGGAAACAAAGGAGAGGAAGTTTCCAACAAACCTTAGCCTTTGCTGACATGACAGAAGAAATGTGTCTATCCTTTCTCCAAACCCTCCATCTGGTCCCACCTGGAGAAACAGAAAGAAAGGCAGAGAGGAATTTAAGATCAGGAACAAGGCTTCACCTCCTCAGCTTTCCTTATCCCTTCAATAGACTAACATAAACTTAAGGCACAGCATGCGGGTAGCGTGATGCGTATACATTCACAATTGTCCATATACTGTATTAAAACAAAAGAGACCGCCCGGAGGGGCCCCCAAACGAGTCGGCATGTCACATAAATCACGTCCTCAACGCATGAGGAAAGTGTTTTTGTTGCTGCCTTTAAAAAAGGCAAAAAAAAAAAAGAAAGATCTGTGTTTGCTGCCAACAGCTGTGGCCAGTGTTGGCTTGTCGGCTCATACATCCATGCAAACAGCCCGGGGGAGCAACAAAAGGCTGCATCTGTGATACACTTGTCAAAGACATTCTTCAGGCTATTTCTGTGGCTGAGG